TTGAGTACTTACTTTTCCAGACATTAGCTTCTGTTTTCCTGCCTTAGGTATTATTGCATTTTATCCTCACAATCTGTCTGTGTGGTAAATGATATTATTCCCATTTGTCAGAGGAAGAAACTAAGATTCAAGGAGGTCCTCTGAATGTTGACTTGACCCTGGGCTGTCTTCAGCCCCTCCTGCCACCTGTCTGGATACCTATCCATAGTACAGCCAGCTTCAGGATTTTAAATACCGTCTTTAGGCTAATAACCCAAATCTGCATCTCTAGTTCTGACCATTCTTTGAGGGGAGACTTGATCTACAGACTTTTAACTGAAGACCCTTATCCCCACATTATTCCTCATCTGTTTCTACCCTTATTCAAAATACAAAATACTGGGGCGCCCAGAACAAGAAGAATAAGGCTCATTGTTCCTTTGTAGTAATATAGCTCTGAACTTCAGGAGCCATAGAATTTCCCCTAGCCTACTGCTAGAGCAGGCTCAGAAAATTGTCTGAGATAGTCCAAATGTTCTGAATCCTTTTTTTCAACCACCTCATGAAACCCATGTTTTAAAAATATTTGTCTAGCTAACCGATTGCAGGTAGTAAGAATGAAATTATTAATTTTCATTTTACATGCCATCTAATTTATTTGACAGATATATGTTGTTTAAGGTACATTCTCTTCATGATAATCAAGGTATTTTAAATCACTCTCTAACAAGGACACGGTGAGCTGATGCTCTGATCTCTTGTGTGTGTGTGTGTGTGTGTGTGTGTGTGTGTTTAGGTTTTGTAAATTTCTGAAAAACTGTTCTCCATCATTAAGCTTGGCACTTTTCTTTCCACACTAAAGAAATGCTCTTAAAACAATTCCCTTATTCTAAGGTCCATTTAGTCAAAGCTATGGTTTTTCTAGTATGGATGGATGTGAGAGTTGGACTAAAAAGAAAGCTGAGCACCAAAGAATTGATCCTTTGGAACTGTGGTGTTGTAGAAGACTCTTGAAAGTCCCTTGGACTGCAAGGAGATCCAACCAGTCAATCCTAAAGGAAGTCAGTCCTGAATATTCATTGGAAGGACTGATGCTGAAGCTGAAACTCCAATACTTTGGCCACCTGATGCAAAGAACTGACTCCTTGGAAAAGACTCTGATGCTGGGAAAGATTGAAGGCAGGAGGAGAAGGGGAAGACAGAGGATGAGATGGTTGGATGGCATCACCGATTTGATGGACATGAGTTTGAGCAAGCTTCAAGAGTTGGTGATGGACAGGGAGGCCTGGCATGCTGCAGTCCTTGGGACTGCAAAGAGTTGGACACTACTGAGTGACTGAACTGAACTGAAGAGTATATTAGAATCTGTGTTCAAGGCCCTTCACGATTCATATCTTTACATATTGTGACAGATTTCTATGTGGGTCTTCACCTTATTATGGGGTTAGGTGTTGTTTCCATAATATTAGAAGTCTGTGTCTTCTTCAGTTTGGATCATAGATCATAGACCCAGCAATTTCTGCCTTGAAATCATCTTCAAAATCCAAACCTGATTTATTAACAGAAAGCTATGAGCAGAAAACTATATTGACTTACCACATTCTATTATCATAATTAACACTCTCAAAAAAAAAAAATCAAAGAAGTGGTAAAGTTTTCTGTTACAATGAAATATCTCCCTTGGGATACTAATATTCTTCCAGGTCATTTCTTGTTCCTTTGATTTAACTTAAACCAGTGAGCCAGCCTCTTCCCAAGGGCAAATTAAGAAGGTCTGTTAACTCTTTACGTGCAACAGCTTCAAGAAATCTCAGCAAGGCCATTAATATTGTTTTGCCCTAGGCTTTCTACTTTTTAAAAGTCAGCTGTCATTTTCAAAGCGATCCAAAATAGCACACTCAACTGAACCCTGGAGCTTTGGAAATGTTAATGCCCTCCATCAGCCATGACCTTGCCACTGGGAAGTGATTTAGCACTAGGATAAAGGGGCCCACTATCTTTATCACACCGGTTTACACCATCAGCTTCAGAAACTGTGTGAGAGAAGAATCAATAGCGTTTTAAGACCAATCTCGAAGAATGCCGAGACAAAGTGCGCCTGCTCTGAAAGTGCTGAGTGGAAGGAGAATTTTTGAATACAACGAAGGGAAGTCAGTTCTCATGGAACAGCTAAATGAATCGTGTCTCAAGTTGGAATTTGTCATTGAGAATGACACCCAGGAGCCCTCTGTATACTTCAGTGAAATCCCATAAAATGCCTAATGAAAAACTTGTATTTTAGAGTTAAACAACACAGAATCAAATAACAAAGCCAGAAGAAATGCATTCTCAACACAGCCGTGTACATTAAGAATTGGATGACATAAATAGTCCCGAAAAGCTTACTAAAGAAAGTGTCCAGGGTAGAACCATCTCCTGTGTAGAAAGAAAGGCAAAGTTAAACTTCATCAAAACTTCCTGGAATGTAACTAGATTTCCTGTAATCCTGGCAAAGGGATTATCTCTGGATAACCAGCAGAGAGTACGAAGCTTCTAAAACTAGCAAAAAAAATAAATAAATAAAATAAAACTAGCAAAGGAGGTATTCCCACAGCACCCCAAGTGAAATCACTGTGGAAAAGAACTAGCAGCTCGGTCCCTGAGATCATTACAATAGAATGTTTGATTTCCCATGGCAAGCCTAATTGTGACATGAACAGCTGTCAACAACAAAATTAGAAGGATCTGTCATTCTAGGGAATTTATCCACATTTGCTTGTCCTATTTCTTCACTGTGGCTCAAGAGAGTGTTTTCAAAGAATTCTTCCAGTAAAGGCTTTCATTATTCAAAGGGGAGACACTCAAGTTATTTGACTTTATATGTTATAAATGAGGGGCTTCCCAGGTGGCTCAATGGTAAAGAATCTGCCTGCCAATTCAGGAGACTCGAGTTCGAGCCCTGGGTCAGGAAGATCCCCTGGAGAAGGAAATGGCAACCCATTCCAGTATGCTTGCCTGGAGAATCCCATGGACAGAGGAACCTGGCAGACTATATATAGTCCATGGGGTTGCAAAGAGTCAGACATAACCAAGCACACATTCAGGCTATACATGAGATACATTTGTATCAGTAACAAGAATCCCAAACAAATGTTTCTTGAATGACAAATTCAAGGACATGAAAATATCTGGGACATTTCTTTGATCCAGAAATCATTCCGTGTTGAATATAGTCGATTCTCATTATTTGTAAAGTTATGTTCTATAAGTCACCACAGACCCTGAATTAGCAAATACTAACCCATTGCTCCTATGAGAAATACAGGGTTAGGTTCCTACAAGCTTTTTTTTTTTTTAATCGGAGTATAGTTGCTTTATAGTGCTTTATAGTGTGTTAGTTTCTGTTATATGGCAAAGTAAATCAACTATACATACATGTATGTCCCCTCTTTTTTGGATTTCCTTCCCATTTAGGTCACGCAGAGCACTGGGTGGAGTTCTCTGTTCTCTGAAGTAGATTTTCATTAGTTATCTATTTTATACATAGTGGTGTATATATGTCAATCCCAGTACCCCAATCCATCCCACTCAACCTCTCCTTCAAGCTTTTTGTCACATTTTCACCAACCAGTCAATGCATATAGCCTTGTTTTATGTGTCTATCCTGAAAAACAACTTATTTGATACATATTATTGATTCATTGGGCTTCCCTGGTGGCTCAGAGGTTAAAGTGTCTGTCTCCAATGTGGGAGACCTGAGTTTGATCCCTGGGTTGGGAAGATCCCCTGGAGAAGGAAATGGCAACCCGCTCCAGTATTCTTGCCTGAAGAATCCCATGGTTGGAGGAGCCTGGTAGGCTACAGTCCACGGGGTCACAAAGAGTCGGACATGACTGAGCAACTTCACTTTCACTTTATTGATTCATTAACATTGAATTCATAGTCAAGTGTACCATAACTCATACCTGAATGAAGTTTATCTAAAACACAGTTTTCTCCATAGGGCATATCATAGCCTTAGGAACTAGACAGAACTTCAACGCTACAGTTGGGAGCTGTTTTAAAAAGGGAAATCACCAAGTATTTGTAAAACACACACAAAAAATGTAGCATTAAATATATCACCAAGGAGAAACTCATTTACAGTTTAAGAGCTGAAACAAGAAGGCAGAGCTTTGCCTTGTTAGACTGCTTCAGCTGGAAAAATGAACTTGGCCTCTCTGCCGATGTCTGCAGACATGTTTGAATTTTTATTTGGGGGGTTACAAACTAATTTTAATGAGTACAGTCTTCCCTCACTATCTGCAGGAGATTAGTTCCAGGAGCCCCTGCAGATCTCAAAATTGGATGCGATCTGAGTTTGGTTGAATTTGCAGATTCGAAACCCATGGATAAGGAGAAGTGAAGTGAAAGTCGCTCAGTTGTGTCTGACTCTTTGCAACCTCGTGGACTAAATAGTCCATGGAATTCTCCAGGCCAGAATATGGAGTGGGTAGCCTTTCCCTTCTCCAGGGCATCTTCCCAACCCAGCAATCAAACCAAGGTCTCCCGCATTGCAGGCGGATTCCTTCCCAACTGAGCCACAAGGGAAGCCCATAGATACGGAGAGGACCAGTTTAAAGTGAAAGGGTTGTCCCTCAGTCGCATCCAACTCTTTACAGCCCTGTGGACTGTAGCCTGCCAGGCTCCTCTTCCGTGGGATTTCTTAGGCAAGAATACTGGGATGGGTTGCCATTCCCTTCTTCGAGGGATATTCCCAACCCAGGGATCAAATCCAGGAGAGGGTCAACTGTAGGCAAATTCACAAAAACAGAATCCATAAGTAACGAGGACTGACTGTATATGTTGAAAATGAGAGTCAGGTTATAAGTCAGTCACTTTGATGGGGTAATTCTGTTTCACTAGTGTTTGTAGTTGTTTAGGTTTCAGAGTCAGAGTGGTTTTGGAGATAAGAGTTCCATAAAAACGTGGAAGCCAGCGCACTGCGTGCTCTAGGAAGAAACTCCTTGTGTAACTTCCTAATCTTTCCATGGTTCTTCCAGGTGTTTCAGGGATGTGGCCAACCCAAACCTGCTCCAGCTCTCAGATCTGCTCGCTCAGCTCCTGAAAATTTTAATACACGATTCAGGCCTTACAATCCTGAGGAAAGACCCACCACTGCTGCTGGCACGAGCTTGGACCGGCTGGTGAGTCCCCCGGATTGATGGTCGTCGTGGCCACTTTCTGTTACCAAGGTTATTCTTCAGAAGACGTGATGGGATTCTGAAAAAGTTGGTTGTAAAAGTCATTTCAGCCTTATATCTGCTCCTGATCTTAATTAGAATATTGAAAAGTAATGAGATCTTCCTTTTAGGTCAAGAATTAGGTTATTTAAGAAGTCTTATCACTATTAATCCACTCATCCAATGACCAGATTTTCAACTCCATATTTCTTCTGAAATATTAATTTGAAGACTAAGTTACAATGTCTTCCAGAGATATAATTACAAAAGCACATTTCTTATTCATCTACTTTAGTTATTTATTTAATTATGATACAGTGTAACTTTATTATGAATGTTCCTTTTATGTAAAGTTTTCTGTTTGAAAATACCTTGCCAAGACTCCAAATCAATATTACCACTATTTTTTTTCTTTTTTGTGTGTATTTTAAAAGTTGACATCCTTAGAAATAGTCACTCTTTGATCCATTTAAATGTGTGTCAGGGGACCAAATATCTATCATTGAAGCCATTTACTTGGAGATTACAACCATAAATATAGTAAACATAATTTTCAATGTGTTTCAAACATCAAATTTTGCTACAAAAATGAAAAGCTCATAATTTCCAAGAAAAACTGCCTGAATGTTTTCAATATAATTTATAGCAGTATAAACAATTTATATACCTGTAATTGTTAGTGCTGTTAATGTTGCTTTGCCAATTATCTTGATGTAAAATTAACAGATAAAAGCCTTAAGGTCATAAACACTTGAACCACATCTGATTATGTCATATAAACTCAGATCCCAAGGGTTTCTGGTTATGAAAATACTTTTATTAGTCACTGTTATAAATTATCATTTTAGTTAATATCCATCTACAGTGTAGAACTTGTAAGATTAAATTGGTAGCATTTGACCTCATAATAAGTAATCTCAGCATTATTCTCTATAAAAATCAAATGTACTTACAACACAAAGGCCTATCCAGGAAGCTCCAATATGAAGGGGTAAGTGCAGTCATTAACCACTAAATTATGTTATAAATTTACTGTTTATTAGCAAGTAAAACTCCCTCTTCAGTATAAGTTTTGCAAAAGGGATAATCTGTGTAATTTCTTCACCTTTGTACTTTATCTTAGTTATATCTATTGTCCATTCACAATTTCAGGAAAAGTTTAAAGTTAGTCACCTTTTTTCTTTTCAACAAAATGATAGTTTCATTAGATTCCATTGTTTGCATTCTCATTTTATAAATCCCTTTATATGCCAAGATCCTTTTAACCAAAGCAGTTTATGAGTATGGGCTTGACCTCCCCGTGTCTCTCTTTCCTTCTTTTTTCCTTTCCTATTTCAGTTGGCTCTGCATACTTATTGAAACAATTCATGCTTTTCAGAATTTTTATAAATTCTACTTTCAGAACTAGGCACAATGCGAGATTAATAAGTTTTGGAGATCTGCTGTGCAACCATTGTCCTATAGATAACAGTACTATATTGGTTAAGAGGCTAGATCTCAGGTTAAATGTTCTTACCACAGGAAAATGAAATTGGAAAACAAGTGGAGAACATTATCCACTTAGTTAAAACTACATTGATTTTGAACAATATAATGACATCTACTACTAATTAATTTTTTTGCCTTTGAAACAGAAGCACAGTCTTCTCTCCTCCCAGGAAAGATAAACACACACACTCACACACACACTCACATACACACACACACACACTCACACACACACACACACTCACACACTCAAACAAAGGAAGTAGAGCGAGAAAAATGATTTTCCCAAGGCAACAGTATTTGTACAATTCAGTACAGCTCGACTAAAACATCAACACTTTGAGAATTTTATATGATGCCTAAAATCTAGTAGATATGAAAATTGGAATTGGAACCTTTTCTTTTAAAAAGGAACTTCACTGGTCATCCTCAAAATGCCCCAAATATAAGAGTCTTGAGAAGTCCTGGAAAATAGCAAACTGATTTAGGATCTTCTATTTTATGCACCCCTAAAGTATATTTAATCATTTTTTAAAAGAATTAGTAATGGTTAATCATATCATGAGGAAAAAACAAAGACTAAACTCAAGAGATACTCCCCTGGAGAAGGGAACGGCTACCCACTCCAGTATTCTGGCCTGAAGAATTCCATGGACGGAGCAGTTCATGGGGTCGCAAAGAGTCGGACATGACTGAGCGACTGACACTTTCCCTTTCAAACTCAAAGTACATAAGGACCAGAGTCAGTGTATACAAATCCAAATCAATAAACCAATTTTATTCTAAAATATTCTCCAGTGGCATGAGTACTTACTTCGTCATAGGTGTAGCTCCAGGCTCTAAAAGGGAGAATAGCAGTTTTATTAATTTCTTATTCAATTAAATTCTGGTTCCTTCTCAGATTGTAAGAATCAGCAATTGGTAATTCACAGCCAGTCATAACCAACCTGGAGCTACTTTTCCACCCCTAAGGCCAAGGAACTGCTTCCTTGTCAACAGGAGCATGACAAGGTCATTCTTGAGAAACACAAGCTAGCTCCAAAGCTAACATCAGAATCTCCATGTGCAGCCATTGTTTCCTCCAAAGCTTTCTTTCCTTTGTGGGGTCAACACAGCTCTGAATAGCGAAAAGGTTGGAGAGGTTCCCTTGGCCAGACAGTGCTGGGCATCAATCAGATAAAATCATCTTCAAGATGCATGTGTAGGTGAAGGGTCCTGCTGGGTCTGACATATATTACTGCCTATTTGGAATGTTTATGAACAAATCTCATGTTACCTACTCCTGTTTTCATTTTCTCCTGCAACGATGTTTCCTGAATATTTATAAGAAGCATGTGTCCCCAAAAAGAAGGGTAATTGGAAAAGACTTCCTTTAATTTCTCTCAGTGTTTCAGCAGAGCACATGCTTCAAAAGGACAGCAACTGAAAGACCATCCCAATCACCCCACCCCTTTTGCCAAAGTGAAAGTGACTTAACTGTAAAACTTAGAGAATCCCTTCTTACTACGATTTAAAATTAGTACCTGTGGCATTAACTTTGGGTTCCATCGGTAAATGTTCTTATACCAGCTATTATAAAGCTATTTTTTATGTGAAGTGGTAGTTATAGGGATTGTTTTTAGAAGTAAATCTCCTAATCCCCAACTGGGTAAACTGCTGCTAAACCTTATATAAAATAATTGAAAACAAAACTCTCTCTTTAAAATATATCAGTAGCATCATCTAGTCTCTTCTTACCTTTATAAAGCAGTCAATTATTTTATATCATTAGGAAACACTCCATATGTTCCTCCAAGTTTATACTGGCAAAAAAAAAATTGTTTAGGTATAGCTTTCAGACATGCTATTCTAAAGTAATTTTTATCACCCCCATAATGAATGAATATCCTCATATAAATTCCATTGCTGATGGAAAGCTGACTCATCAGAAAATAACTACAGTCCTTCCTGCTATGGTTTGTTCAAGATAAAAATGCCATCAACTAATCTGATTAACAAACTGGTCTCGTTATCATGTGTCTCTTTCCTATCACCCACACTCACTCTAGTAGTCCTTCTGTCCCAGCCCACTGTTACGGATTTTCAATTAAATAGACCAGGGGTGTTTATTTGAAATCAGGAAGAGATTGATTCTCTTTCTTTTTTTCTTAACTTTACATCCTGTGAATTCTCTTAATAATTTAGTGAAAAATAATTATTTCTTTAGAGAAAATTTCACCCAACCGTCACTGAAAGTATAGAGTGTTAGAATAAATCAGCAAAAAAATAGCTGGATTTTTAAGAGCTGCCCACAGCGCAGTGTTTCAGGTCATCCTCTGTTAAGGACGGTTAGTTGTACGGCTCAGAATATTACTGTACAACATGCTATACAACCCCTGGACACACTTGGGCAGAAAATGTCAGTTATTTTACTCCAGCTGATTAGTTAGAGCAAAAGTAATAATACAGTAAATTGTGTGTCTTAGCAGAATACGTTTTATTAAAGTAGATAAAAAAAATACTGGACTTGGAAGTTAATTCAATCAAGTTGGCAATGAGTTAGACCAATGGGTCTCCAGTAAGTATTCAACACCATGCCATGTGTGCAGGTTCTTGAATATTCTACTCGTCATTCTGAGGGGATTGGGAGTGGTGGTGGGTGGAATGCTAGTCTGCAAAGCTAAACGTTATACCTGTGCTGTACTATTATGTATAGAATAATCTCTCTTTCTTTTTCCTTTGAATTTGTTTTCCTCTTGCTTCCCAGAGGATTGTGTGGAGGACAATGCAACATAGTGTAAGCTTTGGTCTTCTTATTCTTCTTCTCATCCCCATTTGTCTTTGTACAGTTGTTCCAGGGAGCTCCTGAGAAATCCCACCTCCACTTCCTCTTTCCAAATTGTCCAGAGAGCGAACATCGATAACTACATGTGACCAGTGGGTTTAGGAATGTCCTCTCGGCTTGGTATTTATGGTTAAAGACATTTTTGGTTTTCTTTCTCAGTGGCAAGGTTTTTAGTCTCAGCTTTGTGGAAGACTAGCTCATTTGGTGGCTGATTTAAATTCTGTCCCAACATTCAGAGTATGTGTAGCCTGCCTGAAAAACTCTCTGTTCCCTGATAGAATATATTGGCTTTTTTTTTTCTTGTGCTGAGCAAATAATTACCTCCCTAATAATAACAACAAACCAACATCAACTCTCATGCATAAGGAGCTAATTTTTCCATTAGCTGGGAACATAGAGAATTTAGGGGGGTAAAGGATATTTGTGATACAGCTTGTTTATTTTTTTTCTCCTACTCAAATTTACTGATGTGTTTTATTGCATTTAGGGAGAGACCATTGGGTATTTACTGTGACAGAGCAATTTGTATTGGAGATGAGGACAGGCACGCCCAGGTTATCCTACCTGACTTTCCGTATTAATCATAATAATCAAATAGTTATGTGATCCAGTGGTTTTTGTAATACCACTTCATGCTGGTCCTACCACTTCA